TCATAATTTCATTGAGTTAGACAAGGCTGTGGTCCATGTGATTAGATTGGTTAGTTTTCTGTGATTGTGGTTTTCAGTCTGTCTGCCCTCTGATGAAGGATAAGAGGCTTATGGAAGCTTCCTGATGGGAGAGACTGACTAAGGGGGAAACTGGGTCTTGTTCTGATGGGTGGGGCCATGTTCTGTAAACCTTTAATCCAATTTTCTGTTGATGGGTGGGGCTGTGTTCGCTCCCTGCTATTTACCTGGGGCCAAGGCAGATTCTTTACCAGCTGAGCTGTCAGGGAAGCTCTCTATGTTTATGTTTTGCCAAATTTGGGGAGTTTTCAGCAGTTACTTCTTTTGAGTACAGTCCTATCCTCTTTTCTCCTCTTCTTCTGGGACTGTGAAGACACAAATATTAAGATTTTCTGACATAGCACCATGGGGTTATAGTCCCTGAGGTTCTGTTTAATTTCTTTCAGTTTGTTTTGTGTCTTGTTCAGATTGGATATTTTCCAGTGTTTTGTTTTCTAATGCTGGGTTTGTTTTTTTCTATCTCTCCGCTGTATTCTGCTGTTGAGCGAGCCATCCACTGAGTTTTTTATTTTGACTGTGTTTTTCAGTTCTAAAACTTCCATTTGGTTCTTCCTCATATCTTCTATTTCTGTGCTAAGATTTTCTTTCCTTGCTGTGGCTTTCTAATTTTTCGCATCTATTTCAAGCATATTCACGATTCGTCATTGAAGGATTTTTACAATGCCTGTTCTAAAATGTTTGTCAAAGAATTCGTACATCTCTGTCATCTTGGTGTTGGCCTCTATGCTTCTTTTTTCTTTCAGTTTGAGATCTTCCTGGTTTAGGATACAATGTGCGATTTCCAGTTGGAATCCGGATATTTGCATATTTTATTGGGATTTTGGATCCTATGTAAACTTCCTGTTTGTGTTGGCTTTCTCTGACACCCGCCAGTAGGAAGCGAGGGCTGCTGCCTTGTGACCGCCAAGTGAGTACAAGTGCAGGGACCCCACTTGCCTCTATTGACACTTGAGGGTGGGGCACTTCTTTTTACTGTTGGGTGGGTGTGGGAGTTCTAGTGACTCCACCGACTACGCAGGACAGGAGAGCCCTGGTTACAGCTGTCAGGGATGAAAGTCCTCATTCCCTCCTTGGTCTGCTCTGACTCCACCCAGGCAGCACGTTGGGTACCTCGGTACAGCCCGGCAAAGGAGGAAGTCCGGGCTCCCCACATGGTCTTTGCTGGTGTGGGTGAGGGTGAGGCTACTGTTTATTCTATGATGTATGGCTGGAGTAGAGTGTTTTTTGTCTAAAGATGTTCTATCTTCCTAGGCTTCCTGATCCTTTGCCTAGGGAATGCAGGCTTTCATTGGGGGCTTCTTTTTAGTCGGTGCCTGTTGGCACTCCTGGATCACCAATATCTTCTGTCTCAAGTCTGAGACACGTCAAACGAGAATATCCAGGGAACTCACCACGATGTCATTGCTCAAGGCAGGAAGTCCTTAGCGAGTCTGCCTCTCCTCTGCAAATTCTCAGAGCTCTCTTATATTTGTTTAAAACAAATAATGGTAGGGCTTTTTTGTTCTTTGGTATTTAGCAGCAAGAATAAAGACTTGCCAGAAGTCTGTATATTGATTTTGAGTTAGTGAATGTTTATTTTCAGTAGCCTTGTCCATTAGCCTTTTTCATCATGGCTTCTTCCTTTTGTTTTATGCCTGAAGTCCTTTTCTTTCTTTTCTTTTTTTGATTAATTAATTTAGTTAGTTTTGGCTGTGCTTAGTCTTCGTTGCTGCTCAAGGGCTTTCTCTTGTTGCAATGGTTTCAGTTGCTGCAGATCACAGGCTCTAGGCACACGGGCTTCAATAATTATGGCCCACGGGCCCAGCTGCTCTGTGGCATATGGGGTTTTAGTTCCCAGACTGGGGATTGAACGCGTATCCCCTGCATTGGCAGGTGGACTCAACCATTGGACCACCAGGGAAGTCCCCCTGATTTCTGCTCCTAGATGAGACAGTCACTGTGCACTGCTCCACTCTGCTGGCTGGCTACCCTATATCTCTCTTCTCTTCTCAAACTGGCACCCTCTCAGAGGATGACCTGGCTTTCTACTTCACAGAGAAAACTGGAACCACCAGAAGAGAACTTTACCAGATGCCCTCCACTCCCCGACTGGCGCCTGACTACATCTGTGGCTGCCGGGCCTGTTTCCACCAAGAATGGCCCATGCTTCTGCTTCTGCTTGACCCCTCTTGCCCATTCAGAGACCTGGTTTCAGCAGCTCTTCTTTCTCTCCTTAAGCATCAGTTTTTGCTTTCCAGTAGATGGTTCTCTTTGGCAATAATGGCATGAACCTGCTTCTGTGTTCACCTTTAAAATATAGATTTCTCTCTTTTACCTTCCACCTCCATTTCTGGACTTCCTATCTTTGTTCTGTGCATGTTCGTGCACGGGTGCTTAGTCACTCAGTCATGTCGGACTCTTTGTGACCCCATGGGCTGTAACCCGCCAGGCTTATCTGTCCATGGGATTCTTCAGGCAAGAATACTGGAGCGGGTTGCCATTTCCTCCTCCAGGGCATCTTCCCGACCCAGGGATCAAACCCGAATCTCCTCTGTCTCCTGCACTGCAGGCAGATTCTTTATCCTTTCATCAGGGAAACTCCGAGCTTACTCCCTCTTACATTGAAACTCTTTGAAAAAGTTTTTCATTGTTGTTGTTTTTTCCGCACTCTTTGTCTCTAGTATGTCTTCTCTAATAGTTAAACATACATCAGACTGGCTTTTGCCTCACAACGCTAACAAAACTACTTTTATCAAGGTCACTAGTGACGTTTACACTAAGTCCAGTTTTCAGTTCTTGGACCTGGACGTTGATCCATCTTGATTCATCAACAGAATTGGACTCAGCTGGTCCCCTACTCTTGCTTGAAGAGTGTCCTCACTTGGCTTCTCTCCTGACTTTCTACCTACTTGGCTGCTCCTCCTCTATGTCCTTTGTTGATACATCATCATCTCGATCTTTTAATGTTCATGTGCACGAGACCCAGTATTATTACACTCATCTCACTGATGATTTCTTCTTGTCTCATGACTTTTAGACATAATCTGTATGATGATGATTTTCCAATTTGTATCACCAGCTCAGATTTTTCCTGCACTCTGGACTAGTTCATCCAACATTCCCACTGGACACTAATAGGCACCTCAAAGTCACCATGTGCAAAGCTGAACTCCTGGTCTTCCTCAGTACTTGCTTCACTTACAGCTTTCTACAGCTCTGCTGGGGGCAATACCATCTGTCTAGTTGTTCAGCCCTAAAACCCCAGCGTCCTCCTGGATTCCTTTTTGTCTCATTGTACATATCCCGTTTATTGAACAGTTACGCTGGCTTTTACCGTATCCCAAATCTACTCCTTCCCACCACCTCCTTTGTAAACCACGTGGCTCCAGGTCACCTTCATCACTGTGCTGAATGACTGTAAGGTCCTCCTCACTTATTTCCCTGTTTATAGTCTATACCATACGTAACAGTGAGAGGATTCTGTTACTGTGTCAATTCCATGCTCTGTCCTCTGTGTCCCTGCAGGTCACTATGAGTCAACTCTAGCATCCTCTAATAATATGGGCCTCCCTGCCATTCCTGACATACCAGGTTTACCTATGCCAGGATCATCTGGGGAAGTTTTTTTTTTTAAAGCCATCGATACTCAACTGACATTGTCTTAAGTTTATTTAGAGAAATTGACATCTTCCTGATTGAAAATTTCTCCTAGCCAGAATTGTTGCTGTTGTTCTTCAGTTGTTAAGTCACATCTTACTCTTTTGAGACCCCGTGGACTGTAGCCCTCAAGGCTCCTCTGTCAATGGAATTTTCCAGGCAAGAATACTAGAGTGGGTTGCTCTTTTCTTCTCCAGGGGATCTTCCTGACCCCCAGGGGTCAAACCGCATCTTCTGCATTGGCAGATAGATTCTTTACTAGTGCGCTACCAGGGAATCCCAACAAAACTCTTACTCTCTTTTTATTCATCTCTTCTTTTATATCCTTTGGAAAGGTTTTAGAGTTTAATTTATGCCAATCCTGTGGCTTGTTGCACATATATTTTGTTATTTTGAACGAGATTCTTTTCCATTATTCTTCAACTAGTTGTTGGTATATACAAAAATTGTCGGATCTATATATTTATTTTGTAAGCATTTCTCTTTGGGAACTCTTAAATCTGAACTCCCTTTCCCACTTAAATTACTCTTTGGTTGATGCCCTCGTATGTTCAGATTCCTCTTGACTCTGTACCTGCTTTGGATCCTGTACAGGCTCTCCTCTCAGATCTTTTCTGGAATACCTCTTGCTTGCCCTCAGGCTCTTGGAGAAATGAACACATTTTCAATAGGTTTCCCATATTTGTCTACATTTGCTTCTTTCTGTCCCCCTTCTCTACAAGGATGGTGTTTTAAAAAATTAATGCACATTTAATTTTCTTAGTTAGAGACTGGGACAGAGGGCCTCTCCTTGGCCCTCCCCTGACTCTGCACAGGACCTCTGTCCAAGCACTTAGAGCTCTGAATACAATTTCCAGTTCACCTTCTCTTAACCAAGCTTCATGATCACTTAGAGCTTGGAATGGATTTAGTATTCCATGAATATTTGTTGAAGGAATAAGTAAATGACTGAAATATTTGTCTAGTCCTTTCTAGAACTTCCAACTACCTTTATTGGGGATAAAGGTATTTGGGAATTTATTTTTCAACTTACTTTCCAATTCTTCTGCTGTTTTTTATGTTTTCCTAATCAATGTGTATATATTTTGTCATATTTTCACCTAGCCTTATTTCATAGTGACTTCCACCAATATTACATGTTCTAAACAACTATCAATTTGACAATGAAGTCTTTCGTTGATCTAATGCATAACAACCACTGGCACACTCACTGCGTAATCTTCCATAGCCTGCTGTTGACTTGGATGTTGCTCTTGCTGACTTGATGATTCTTTCCTCCCTCTCAGATTCAGGCTTCTTCAGGAGAGACCAAGTACACTGGTCCTTTGGACTGTGCGAAGAAGCTATACAAGGAGGCTGGGATCCGAGGGATCTACAAGGGGACTGTACTCACGCTCATGCGAGGTAACCTTTGAGCCCTCCACCTGTGGTGGATTTGCCACAGGGAGGTCTTGCCTGGATCTCTGGATTAGCCTTGGCACCATACGTGCCACAGCCCTGACAGGGCTGGAATGGTGTGTCCTGGTTTTAGGTATTTCACCTCTGGCCAGCATGGACATGCATGAGAATGGGGGGACCTTCCATCCTTCCAGTAGGCTGGCCCTCGAGGGTGGAAATCATGACAGTGGCAGTAGCAAGTAGATGGGAATCATGGCTGGAGAGGTGAGTGGGAAAAAAGAATAACATAGGAGACTTCCCTGGTGGTTAAGGTGGTTGACAAGCTTCCAATGCAGGGGGCATGGGTTTGATCCCTGGTGCCATGTGGTGCAGCCAGAAAAAAAAAACAAAAAGAATGACTTAATAATAGTGGAGCTCTATTTGGCTTGAGAAGCATGTCCTACTGGGGTGGCGACAGAGGCAGCAGAGATAGCCCTGAGATGGAAGCTTGGAGGAAGGCCAGATGTTAGCTCCATTAAAACTGCTTGGAGTGGGCATGTTAGTGGGGACCACTCAGAGGGCCTCTGAAGGTGAAATAATGTCATGCTTGTTTGTGCTCACTGACACCGGTGCTGGCCCCAGAGCCACCTCTGATCACTGCAGACAGGAAGTGCTGCTGAGCAACTTCTCAGGAAACCTTCAAGGGTCCAATGCCAAGGTTGGCTCTCCTAAGATCAAGAAAGCTGTGAGGATTTTCTGTCATTTATTTTACATCTTTCTTGCCACTTAACAGATGTTCCAGCCAGTGGCATGTATTTCATGACATATGAGTGGCTGAAAAATATCTTCACTCCAGAAGGAAAGAGGTGAGGAGAACAAAAGAGCTTAGAAGCCACTTTCCCTCATTACCGGTAGGTTGCCCATTCCCATTAGTGGGTCTGAAGGCAGGAATGGGACCTGCTTCTTTCTCCATGTCTACTTTCCTCTTGTTACTGCTGAGCCCCAGATAACACCAATACCTCTTACTCTGTGCCTCACCCAGTGGAGCAAGGGTTTGAAACAAGTGCAGGAAACCTCCTCCAAAGAGTGGCAGCTACCTTGTCACAGGAGTCTTGGCCTTGGACCACCTCCCTCCAGCCATTTCCTCCCTCTCTGTGGCCTCCATGTCTGCAGAGAGGGGGATGATCTGAACGCCACTCTAACAGCCTTTGTGTAACCAGGGCTGTCTTTGGTGTTCTGCAGCGTCAATGAGCTCAGCGTGCCTCGGATCCTGGTAGCTGGGGGTTTTGCAGGAATCTTCAACTGGGCTGTGGCAATCCCCCCAGATGTGCTCAAGTCCCGCTTCCAGACTGGTTAGTAGGGGAGAAGAGGGCTGGATGGGGTTGGAGTGGGCCCCAAAACTGGCTGCCCCTGGGATACAGAGCTCTTAAGGTCTTAGGCACACCCCCTCTCCACAGTAGCTCTCAGCGAGTGTCTGGCCAGCATTCTCCCTTGTAGTCATTTGTATCCTAAGAATGTGAGACTTATTTTCTTGTCAGCCTCAACATAAAGTAACTGAGAGAAAGACTTCCCTGGTGGTCCAGTGGTTAAGACTCCACTAGATGGGGCACAGGTTCAATCCGTGGTGAGGGAACGAAGATCCACATGCTATGCGATGCGACCAAAAAAAAGTAAGAGAAGAAGTCACATCAACCTTCCTTCCCCCACACAAGCAGAAGGACCATTTCATTGTTCATTCTTTTCCCCATTCCCTCGACACTAGTATAATGCAGACGTTGGTTTGTCCCAAGGTGAACTGTGTTGTCTGTGGTCTGGTCCTGGGTGATCCACACAGTAGCCTCTCCCTGGTGCTGGGGCCCTGCAGGAAGACTTGACTACAAAATTGTCCCCATGTTGGTCACCATGGTCAGGTCAGAAAGCTTCCTGAAGCCTTAACAGTTGGGTTCTGCCCACAGCGCCTCCTGGGAAATATCCTAATGGTTTCAGAGATGTGCTGAGGGAGCTGATCCGGGATGAAGGCATCACATCCTTGTACAAGGGCTTCAATGCAGTGATGATCCGAGCCTTCCCAGCCAACGCGGTGAGTGACTGGCAGGAGCTATGTTTTTTCCATTTGGGGCTCAGAGCAGAGTGCAGGTGGACCGACTTTTGCTTGCTTCTGAGACTGAACTGGGGGCTCAGTTTTTCTGGAGTCCCACCCTCAGCCAGAACCTCCTTATTTGTCCCCTTTCCTGAACCTGTCAGATGAATTACCTTTGTGATTCTCCAAGGCGAGGAGCTGTAACTTCCTGGCCTGACCATCAGAAGTGGCCAGTTGTGGGACATGCATTTCTTTCCCTATTAGGGATGAGAAAGCACAGCTTGATTCCATGACTTGAGGGGGGAGTAAGATTAGGAAGGGGTTTTGGTCCTGACGGGGCCAGCCGAGCACAATGCTGGGGGTCTCTGTGAGTAGTCACACTCTTGTTGGCTTTTCTCTTCCTTCCAACCCCTTCTCAGGCCTGTTTCCTGGGCTTTGAAGTTGCCATGAAGTTCCTTAACTGGGCGGTGCCCAACTTGTGAGGCTGAAGGCTGCTCCAGGCTTCAGGATGCCAGAAGTTGCCATCCAGGAGGAACAGTGGGCGGGACTGGGCAGTCCTGAGGTGTGAGGAGAGGGGGATGGTGGTGGGATGAGAGCTCTGTGCATGGACCTGTCGAGACCATTGTCTTAATCACACCCTCTACCTGGTGTAATTTGCCATTTTGCAACTTGAATCCTCTCTTGTCAATTTGAGGGATCTCATGAGGACTTGGAGGTGGAGTAATAGCTCCTAGACCACATACCACCTGTGGCCAGGGTGCTGTCTGCCAGTTGACTACTGGCCCTCCTACACCTAGAACACTCTTCAAGAAAGAGGGACTGTCAACCTCTCACTGGAGACACTCTGCATGTTTGCAGCCAGCTGACTAGGAGCCGGGGCCTTCCTGCATCCCTGGCCAGGAGCACCCATCAGGGTGTCCTCTAATCCTGGCCTGCACAGCTTCAGGTCCTCATGGGAATGTGGATCTGAGACCCACATCTGTCTGTCCAAGCAGACTGAGCAAATGTGCCTAGGGACAGAGAGCCTGTTAACACTCGGGTTTTGTTTTGTTTTTTTTAATGCATGCAAGTAATCAGAATTAAAACTAGAGTAACCTAATTTCCCAGGAGTTGGTGGAAAGCTTTCCCTCCTACTCAGCGAGGAGAGTTTTGAATAGACCATCCCAGCTTGCTAGGATAAGTGAGAATGTGAGAAAGCCCAGGGTGTAGGAAGACTCTTTTTGCACACTCTTTTCTCATGAGAGCGCCATATTTGAACAGGAAATAATAAATATTGTTTCTAATTTTCGCATCGTGTGAAATTTTTTTCTTTTGATTCTGGGTCATTTCAGCAAGCAGCCAGGGGCCTCCGTGGAGGCTCTTAGGCATCCAGTAGCCTTCCCTGGATGGGATTCAGGTAGCAATTTCAGCAGGAGAAAGAGGAAGAAGTCTTGGCCCACCGGCCTTCCCAGACTGCCCCCCGGCCCAGCCCCTGGAGGGTCAGATTGGTGGGGTGGGATAAGGCAACCTGACTGGCAACTGTTCCCATAGCTCTTGGGGGTCGCTGTATGATCTGATGTCTGGCCTTACTTATCAGCTGAAGATGATGACTGGGTGCAGCCAGGGGAGATGAGGGAGTCAGAGTGGAGAGTGACATGCTAGTCCGTCCTTAGCTGGGGGAGAGAGAGGCTACCAGAGCTGGGCTTCTCTGGCTTTGTCCCATCTGGCAGTCACACTTCCGCTGGCACTTCCCGCCTCACTGCAGCCGCACAGAGATCCTTGGACTTTGGCTTCAGAGCTATCACTCAGCATAATGGGTGAGAGGGGGAAGGGACCCACCCCTATCTGGGAGTGGGTGTGGCCAATTTGCCTGGAAGCTGAAGATTTGGGGGTTTAAGGAAGGAAGCTTTATTCTGGGAAGATATTTCTGGATGATGGTCAAGTTAAAAAAAAAGAACTGCTTCAAGGATGAAAATTGTTTGCTCTCTTCCTGGGAAGATTAATTAATTCAGTGTTACGCTTTCCCGTCTCGTGCTGCAGGATAGTTTTGTTTAATCTCTCGAGGATGGGGAGATGGCCTCCAAGGTGTCTCCTGAAGCTCTTCTCGGCACTGCTCAGTCCTTGAGACAGTCCTGAGACCTCAAGCTTTTCCTGGGAGCCCTGGGAGTGCATTTGCATTCTAGCTAAATGCCAGCCATTCCCATGGCTCAGGATCACTTTTACAGTCTCCTGCTTCTGAATAATTTGCCCTTTGAAACAGCTTCCATTTGAAAATGGAATATTTTGATTCTTTGATGCTAGTGCTGGTGGATCCTTTTACTCCTCTGGGGATTCAAGAGATGTGAAGTCAAAAAAAGGGAAGCCCCTGGAGGCATATGTGTGAGGGGAGCAGAGCAGATGGTGAGTAACTCCCTTCTGGCTGGCACTTCCTGTTTATGATGCACTTTGAAATGCCACCTGTTCCTGATATATCTCTTCTCTCCTTGATGGGGGTAAGGGTCGGGGAGAGATTGGGGCCCCCTTAAGGGATTTCTTAGACTGCTACAGACAGCCTTAAGTAGAAGCCAGTAATAGTTAAAACAACCAGCCAGTGAGAACAGCCTTATGCAAGCACAAAGAGGAGTACAACTGGGTCAAAGGTAAAGGACAGAGGGGAGGTTGTTCCAGCCTCACCCTGTTAGAAGCAATAGCAGCACCATTTCTGCTGTAAGGTCATAGCATCTCTACCCGCAGTTCTTTTACCACAGTTCTTTTAGGCTCGAGCCTCCTATTCCTTTCCTAACCTCTTCGGGGGTTCATTCTCATCTCTTTACCCCATGTAACTCAGGGTTTGGGCTTCCTAGTGGCTCAGTGGTAAAGAATCCTCCTGCTAATGCAGGAGATGCACATTTGATCTCTGGGTTGGAAAGATCCCCTGGAGAAGGAAATGGCAACCCACTCCAGTATTCTTGCCTGGGAAATCCCATGAACAGAGGAGCCTGGTGGGCTACGGTCCATGGGGTTGGAAAGAGTCCGACACAACTTAGCAACTCAACAACAGCAACAAACTCAGTGTTTAATGGGTAGGGATTTATACCTCCACTTTCAGATGTGGAAGCCAAAGCTCAGATAGGGTAAACTGATCTACCAAGATCATTACCAAGTGGATATCAGAGTGTGGCTGACAGAGTGGTGTCTCAGTGTCCACAGGCCTAAAGAAAAGTTTGTGACATTATCAGCAGTCCTGGATTGCTTGACCCAAACTCCAAGAGCCTGCCTGTACTGCAGGATCAAAGCCTGGGCAGCTGGCCTGTGAATCAGGCCAGGGACAGCACACAGAGTCCCAGCAGACACAAGGAAGGTCAAGGGTTCCCCGAGGGCCCCTTTATTCTACCTTCTTTGCTCTAGTTGGCATCAGGCCTGTGGCTCTCCAGCCAGGGCTCTCCTTTGCTTCTCAGGTTCTGTCCTTGCTCTGATATGTCTCAGAGGCAGACCCTAGGTCCACTCTAGAAACTGATACTTTCTCAGGACAGTGTCCAGGGTGGAGGGGGGGAGTGGGGGTCATAAATGGCTCACAAGTGCAGAAGTAAGCAGCCCAAGAATTAACTGCTCCCTTGAGTACTGGTGCTTACTAAAATAACTGGACCAAAGGCAGTGGCTTCATGGGGGAGGAACTATGAAGGCTTGAGTGAGGGCAGAGGAAACAGTGCACTTCCTCACTCCTCTCTGGCCACTGGAGGCTCATGGACACTTCTAATGCAAAATATGCTGAAGCTGAAACTCCAGTACTTTGGCCACCTCATGCGAAGAGTTGACTCATTGGAAAAGACCCTGAAGCTGGGAGGGATTGGGGACAGAAGGAGAAGGGGGCGACAGAGGATGAGATGGCTGGATGGCAACACCGACTCGATGGGCATGAGTTTGAGTAAGCTCCAGGAGTTGGTGATGGACAGGGAGGCCTGGCATGCTGCGATTCATGGGGTCGCAAAGAGTCGGACACGACTGAGCGACTGAACTGAACTGAACTGAATGCAAAATAGAAACAGGTGGTGGTAGGTAATAAGTATGCAGGGAGACTGGGCCAGGGGACTGGCATGTAGAGCAGGTCAGATGAACAACAAGTCCCAGGAGATGGGTGGGGATTGGGCTAGGCTTAGAGAAGCAGCCCCTTGGGGCAGAGGAGAGGGAGGTGTTCCTGCTGGGGGTGATTCCCCCAGAGCAGGTGGAGGGCATCAGAGGGCAGACAGTGAGTTAACCAGGAGTTCTGGGCCAAGAGCAGGGTGTCCTCCAGAGAAGTCTAGGGGACTATGAGCGTCTTCCTTCTTCCTGGAAAGAGTCGGGGGGAAAAAACCTTTTAAATCATGAACCTGTCAAGAGCACAGGAAATAACTGTTGCATTGGAAATAGCAGTTGGTACCCTACCCATGTTCATTATCACCAGTCTCACTGCTCTTAGACTAGACAGGTGCCCCACTTGAGTAAGCATAGTTGTAAACAATTCTGAGAACTGGCCCCATGGTGTCCATGTCTGTTCTGAGGTTGGTGGTGTGGCAGCCCATGCAAAATGATGACTACCTTCTGGGTGTGAGTATACCTGGGTTGAGGAGAGCATCTCGCAGGACTCTGGGACCTCCTCTTCTGTCTACCATGTTTCTGTATTTCTCTTGCTTTCGAGGGTCTCTGCTCTTGACCTTTCCCACCCACCATTACTGGCTGTTGGCAGGCCTGTGGGTTCAGTTGCCATGGTAATCCCCAGTGGTGCTGATGGACAGGCTTGAATGAAGGCAGTCCTCGAAGGGTAAGGATAGAAGATGTGGGGCTTGGGCCTCTTGTATTCTCTCTTGTTCCAAGGCCCTGTTCTTTTGCCAGCTCAGCTGGGCCTTCATGAAGGCCCTGGGAACTCTCCTTGCTATTGAAAGGTTTCCCCGAAGGGGCAGAGATGGATCCCTGCTCTGAGGACCATGTGCAAGGGGAAGAGAGTCAAGCTGGATCTGGAGGCTGGCTCTCCATCCTTCCTCTGAAGCTGGTCTTCAGAGACAGGTGAGGAGCAGCTATGCAGTTCCCGATTTCTGTGGTCCTCATTTCCTCCAGGTCTGAGAATGCCTTTGAATCCCATGTTTGCTGGCTGGCTGGCCAAGCTAGGGTATCTGAGACTAAGCCAGGAGGACCAGCCTCCTTCAGGCCGAGGCTGAGAGGGGTTCCTTGGAGTGACCGGGAGAACCTGCCCACAGCCAGCTCTGTCATCAGTCCTGGAGTAGCTTCCTCCCACCCTCTTTGCAACTGAAGTTGAAGTCCTAATTGTACAGCTGCCTGTCCCCCTTTCAAATGTATAAAATCTGGCAAATGGGCAAACTAGAGAGTGGAGTTGCGAATTTGCCTTTCTAAAAGGTCAATGGTAGGATTTCCTGAAGTGGGTCAGATCCCCAGGTGTGGCAGGGCAGTGGGAGTCCCACCTAGGTTTCCTGAGGATGGGCTGACTCCTGGAAAACTCGGAGGGGTCAATCTACACAGGAGCAGAGAACTCCTTGCCCTGTCCTTACTTAAGTCTTTATATTCTGAGATCAGACACATAGCTTTGAATTAAAGGATCCTAGTTCTGAGACTGAGATCAGGAGAGCAGTCTCACCGGCTCTTCTTGCTGTGTGAAAATTTATTATTCATTTATTCAGTAAATCTTTTGCAAGACTGTGTGATAAGGACCCCAGCAGAGAATGAGCTGGACACTACCCCTCCCCTAACAAAGCTGATGGTTCAGGACTTCTCCCAGGAGTCCAGAAACTTGTCCAGGGAGAAACTGCTCTTTGGAATCACAGACTTGCCTGGCCTGGGGCCTGGGTGGCTTCTGCACCAGTGGGGATCAGGTATTCCTGCTTCTAGATGCTCAGTTCCCAGAGCACTGAGCTCCTGGGTGTGTGCCAAGACAAAATGAGAGGTCCTAGTGAGGATTTAATTAATACTGGGTAATTACCAGGTGGAGCTTAACTATCCCAAATGCCTTTCAGATTCCCAAGGCTATATCTAGTCACTTTCTGACTTGGCCCAGCAGAGAGACAGAGGATGCTGTCCCATGCTTACTGGGACTTTGGTCAGCACCTGGGCTGTGTTATGGACACACGAAGGTGTCCACTCTTTTCTCTTTCCAATCTGCTGTAGGTGAAGGTGCAGCTTGGGAAATAGCATGGCCTCTCCCATTTGCCTAGGCCCCTTCCTTGGGACAAAGGTTAACAGTGCCTTGCCATCTGCTCAAACACCATGAAGCAATGCTGGCCCAGGGCCCAGGGTCCAGGGCAGAGTATGGGGAGAGAACGGGTGTGCAGACCTAGTCCTGGGAATCCTGATGGGAATCCTCAAGCAGAGAAACAGGCACAGTGGTTATTCCTGCTCTGGGCTTTATTCCCTTTTCTCAAGAAACATATTTCGAACTCATTCTTCCAGATTTATCTGCCGGTGGCTCCCAAATTATTACATCATCAAAACTCCTACTGCCTACAAGGCCTTTCTTTGACATCTCTCAGACCTCCTGCCAGACTTTGGAGGGTCCTACGGTCATGCCACCAGGCCACCCAACAGTCAGGGTGGTTGTGACTTTCCCAGGTCTTTACTCTTGTTGTCCTCTATGCCCACATGGCTTCCCGCTGGCTCTTCCTGTGGTTAGGTCCTGCCCAGGCCTTGGAGTCAGCTTGAATGTCACCCTCTAAAGAGGGTCCCCTTGTTCTCCACCATATCTGGAACCACACCGAGATGGTAAGGTGGCATTCTTGAGTCTGGCTCTCAGCTATGTCCCTGGTACCCAGTAAGGGCGGGCAGATGGTTGGATCTTAGCGTGTGCTGAAAGAAGAAAAGACAGATAAGAGGCACTAACACTCCGCTTAGCGGGTAGACCTCTCTTCCTTGCGCCTGGATCGCCAGGTAGCGGGGCGAGTAGACGGCCCCTTGGCGCAAGCGCACTGAGGGCCGGCGCTCGGCGGGAGCGCGCACGCCCGCGGCCGCGTGCGTCACAACCCGGGCTCCCGCCCCGCCCGTCCCCTCGCCCGCTCGTCGGTGCCCGCGGCGGCGGCGGCGGCGGCGGCGGCGGCGGCTGCGGCTGCCCAGTGACAGCGGCGGCGGCACCAGGCCGGCCGGAGTAGCGTAGGGTGGTGGGGCCCGGAGACACACACCCGGCCAAAGGGCGGCGTGGCGCGAGGAAGGCCCGACCCGGGTCGCGCGTGAGGAGACCTCGCGGGCGCCGGGCGAGAGGCCGGCGTGAGGGAGCGCCCGCCCAGGCGGTGGCCGCCGGCGGCCCGGTCCCGCCTGCCGCCGCCGGCATGAGCCACATTCAGATCCCGCCCGGGCTCACGGAGCTGCTGCAGGGCTACACCGTGGAGGTGCTGCGGCAGCGGCCACCAGACCTCGTCGACTTCGCGGTGGACTACTTCACCCGCTTGCGCGAGGCCCGCTCCAGAGCCTCCACCCCGCCCGCTGCCCCTCCTTCCGGCTCCCAGGATTTCGATCCCGGCGCTGGCCTGGTCGCCGACGCGGTGGCGGACAGCGAGTCGGAGGACGAAGAGGACTTGGACGGTAGGCGGCGAGCTGGGCGGGGGTTCGCGGTGGGGGAACGGAGGGAGCGGTGCCGGGGGTCGGGGGTCTCTCGAGATCCAGAGAGGGGCTGCGAGGGGCCAGGCCCGCCACCCTGGGCCGGGACCTTGGAGCCCGCGAGGGGAGTTCGTCCGGGTTTCCCGAGCCGCCGGCGTGAGCCCCGCGTGCGCCACTTCCAAATTGAGCTCGGCGATCCTGCCAGCCCCGGAAAGCAGCGAGCGAGTTGTCAGATTCAGCTCGAGGGAAACGTGCGCGCTTTCGGCCCGCGTGCTGGCGCGGGGCCGGAGGGGCGTGGAGCCCACGGCCGCCTCACCTCGGCTGGAGGCGCTTCGCCCGGTTTCCCTGCGAAGACAAGAACGTTCGCCTACACCGACTCGGGTTTTCTAACCAGGACGGTAACTTGGGAAATAACTCATTTTGTTAAAAGTTACCGTGCAAAACTTTAAGCGTAGACGGAAATAGAAAAGGTGACACGAACTCCCTATATGCCGTCACCCACGTTACACAGTTGAAATATCTGTCACGGATGTTTCATCTATACTCCCTCCCCCCCCCCACGCCCTTTGCTGAAGTATTTTAAAGCAAGTCCCAGTATTTCACCTTCTTTCAGCCTTGGATACTTCAGTATGCATTTCTTCATGTGGACCCAGGGAGTATATGTATAAAGATATATTTCATTTGCCTAAAATGATTGGATCAAATGTGGTGAGGGTCAACAATACATTTTTTTCCTCATGTGGTGCAGAAAAGAAGACTAGTAACACCTCTATATCTGATTTAAGCAAGATTGTCAAAAAGCAATTCCGTTTTACTTGATGGCTTCAACATAGGCTTTGTCAGTTTAACGATAGAATTACCCTAGTTTTGAACAGCCAGAATTTAACAAAACAATGGAAATATTTGAGAGACAAAGTTAGAGACTTCTTGTTTACTAGCTCACACTGAAAAAACCCCTGACAATCTAGTTTTGAGTTGAATCCACGTTTAAGTTAGGCTGGCAGGGAGTTAATTATTGGTCATTGCTATTGGAGGTTGTGAGGTTCAGTGCTGTGGACAACTTCCCTTAGTTTATTCACACTAAGAATGGAAATTGTTCGACCATGTTACCCTGGCTTTAATACACATTAAATTATTGGTTTTTCACCTTTAACCTGGAAATCAGAAATTATTTCACAAATCCCTGCCACAGAATTGCTTTGTGGTCTAAGACAAGCCGTGGAACTTGTCTGATTTTAAATTTGCTTATCTTTAAAATAGGGTTAGTGACCACAATCTCCCAGGAATAAATGTGTTTTTAAAAGATTTATTTCAGGAGTGACTTCTGCATTTGTTTCACTGTCATAACAATAAATCACAAAGTTGTAACTTGGTTTGCAACAATCTTTATTTACCCAAAACATTATTATTTTAGCTATTAGTCTGAAGTGAGTAAAACAGAATCTCCAAGTTTTGTGTCATGTCTTCATTTTTTGGTCATTTTTTTATATCTTTTTCAAAGTTGAATTGACTTGAATCTTTGTAACCCTGTGCTTTATTTTACTGGTATTTAATTTTTTTTATATATCTCTTCAGTGGCTGTGCTAAGTATAATTATAGAAGTCAACACAAGGTGAACTTCTATTTACAGATAATAGACTAAAAATACACTGCACACAGTGAGATACCACTTCATACCCATGCCGTTGGCTATTATGGAAAAAAAAAAAACCAAACAGAAGAGCAAGTGTTGGTGAGGATGTAGAAATTGGAACTCTTGCTTACTGCAGGTGGGAATGTAAAATGTCCTGGCTGCTGTGGAAAACTATTTGACTTTTCCTTAAAAAGTTGAACATAGAATTACTGTGTGACCAAGCAATCCCACTATGTATATACCCCCAAAGAACTGAAAGCAGGGAGTCAAACAGATACTTGTATGCTGGTGTTCATTGCTGCATTATTCACAATAGCCAAAAGATAGCCCAAGTGTTCTATAGACAGATGAATGGATAAATGTGGTATGTATACAAAATGTGGTATATATGTACAATGGCACACTATTCATCCTTAAAAAGGAATGAAATTCTGATGTATACTACAGCATGGATGATTCTTTTTTTTTCTAACAACGTTTCATATTTATTACTGAGTCTCATAGACTGATAGTGAGGAAACAAGGAACATCAGGAGCCAAGCATTACAGTAGTGATGTTCTTGCTGTGATTTGGCTGGTTAAAAAAGTGCTCTTAACATGTGTGCCACTTTTTATGTGAGGCTTCTTATAGACCCAGCTTGGTTCTTCTCCAGTGTCTTCTCTGGGAATTGTACCTGATCTTATTGCCAGTTTTCATTCGAATCCATTGAGGAATGGGACAATTCTGCTTTTTGTCTTGGCTAGGAATCACTTGATCCTGAAAGTCTTGAGACGACATGGTGAGGACAGAACTCAACCGCACATAGGATGGCAGAGAAGAGAAAAGAGGAGGAGCATGGATGATTCTTGACGACATTATGCTAGTATAACGTGCTAGACACAAAAGGACAAATATTGTATGAATCCATTTATATGAGGTACCTGGAATAGGCAAATTCAAGGAGACAGCAGAATAGAGATTACTAGGAGCTGGGGAGACTGGACAGTGGGGAGTTACTGTTTAGTGAGGGCGGAGTTTCTGTTTGGAATGATGACAAAGTTCTGAGATTGGATAGGGGTGATGGTTGCACAACATTGCGAATGCACTTAATGCCATGAATTGTACACTTAAAATGGTTGAAAGGGTAAATTTTATGTTATGCAGAAAACATGTTTTTGAAAAGATAAGAAAAGAAATACTAGGATGACCAAAAAGTTCATTCAGGCTTTTCTGTAACATCATACAGAACACATTGCAAGCCAGTGATTAGGAACATTAAGATAATAAGTCCACAGTACCTAAAATTAGAAATAGGGTATATAGTATTAGAACCATAATATATCAGAGAGACTTTACTTAGGAGGGCTTCCCTGATAGCTCAGTTGGTAAAGACTCTGCCTGCATTGTTAGTTGGTAAGGAATCCGCCTGCAATGCAGGAGACCCCTGTTTGATTCCTGGGTCAGGATGAGCCGGTGGAGAAGGGACAGGCTGCCCACTCCAGGATTCCTGGGCCTCCCTAGTGGCTCAGCTGGTGAAGAATCTACCTGCAGTGCTGGAGACCTGGGTTCCATCCCTGGGTTGGGAAGATCCCCCTGGACAAGGGAAGGGCCACCCACTCCAGTATTCTGGCCTAGAAAATTCCATGGACGGTATAGTCCATGGGGCTGCAAAGAGTCGGACATGACGGAGCGACTTTCACTTTCACTTTACTTAGTAAGGTCCTGAATGGCTAACCACCAATTCAGTTTATAAAACTGTATGCTACTAGAAACACTCAAAAAGCTTCATTAATTGTTATTGGTTTAGTTTAACAACAGTTTGATATCAAACAACACATCAAATATGAAGTATTAGAATGAATATTTCATTCTTGGGAAAGCCTGAAGAGTTCAGACTTTATTGACTTATTAATAAGTTATTCTGGCTGCATCCTCGTAAGAACAATAACTTGGCATCTAGACTTGATTCACTTCTATAATTACAGTAAAACACTTATATTTGTGGGTCTCAGCATTTTTTTCTTTTTTGGTTTATGGAGACATAATCCATATACCAGATAATTAACCCATTTAAAGTGTATAGTTCTTTGGTTTACTGTATCTACAGATATGTACAACTGTCACCACAGTCAGTTTTAGAACATTTTTATCACCCCACGAAAGACACCCCGTACACTTTAGCCATCACCTGCCCACGTCCCTGTTCCCCTGTTTTAGGAAATTACTGATTTCCTTTCTGTCTCTATGAATGCGCCTATCCTGGCCAATTAATTTAAATGGAATCATAAAATATATGGTCTTTTTGCTTCTGGCTTCTTTCACTTAGCATGTTTTAAAAATTCATCAATATTATAGCATATATTAGTGCTTCATTCCTTTTTATTGCTGAATTCTGTTCCATTGTGTGAATCTACCACATTTTGTTTATCCATTCAGCAGTTGATGGGCACGTAGATTGTCTCCACTTTTTTATTATTACGAATAATGCTGTTGTGAACACTCCTGTGTATAAGTTCCAGTGTGGACATGGGTTTTCATTTCTTTCTGGTATTTACACAGTAATAGAATTCTTGCACCATATGGTAACTCTCATACTTCATATTTTGAGGAACTAACTGTTTTCCAAAAGTGACTGTGTCATTTTACATTTTCTAACCAGCAGTGTATTGAGGGTTCTGATTCCTCCCCATCCTTGTCAACACTTTTTATCTTTTTTATTATAGCCAACCTAGTGGGTAGGAAGTAGTAGCTACCTTGTTGTAGCTTTGCTTTGCAGTTTCCTAATGATATTGAGCATCTTTCCATGTGTTTGTTGGTCATTTGTGTATCTTTGAAGAAATGTCTATTCAGGTCCTTAGTCCATTTTTTAAAATTGGTTTGTCTTTTTATTGTTAAGTTCTAAGAGTTCTTTGTATATCTAAACAAGTCCTTTATCAGATATATGACTAAAAAATATGTTCTGCATTTAGCAAGTTGTCGTTTTACTTTTTTGATATTGTCTTTTGAAGCACAAGCTTGTAATTTTTATTAGGTCCAGTGTATCATCTTCTTTTGTTGTTTGTGCCTGAGGTATCTTATTTAAGAAGCCATTGCCAGACGCAAGGTCATGAAGATTAACTTCTCTGTTTTCTTGTATGAGTTTTACAGTTTTAGCTTTACATTTAGGTTGTAGTACTTTGGGATTTTTTTTTGGCTGGGCAGTATAGGAGGTCTTAGTTCCCCAAGCAAGGATCACACGTGTGTCCCATGCAGTGGAAATGTGGAATCTTAAGCACTGGACTGCCAGGGACGTCCCTAGGTTGTAGTACATTTTTGTTATTTTTTGTTTAAGAAGTAAAGTACTTCATTCGTTTATATGTGGTTTCTCTAGCA